TCTATGGGATTTACCAGGCAAGAATACTGAAGTGGCTTGCTATTTCCTTCTCCAGGGGATCTTCCTGACCCAGGGATAAAACCCATGCCTGCATCACCAAGCCACCAGGGAAGCTCAACATCTCATTGCTAACAGTATTGATATCTCAAATTTCACTGCTTCCAGCCCCTATCTGGGTAACACAGAGGTTGGTTTCTCCTTAAAATTCCAATCAGTTGCTCCTGGGAATCCCAAAGCTGTTCTGTGTGAATTCAAGAATTCCAAGATTGTTTCTGTCCCAAACCTGTGAAACCATCTAAAGGTGGAGTCATAGTACTGCTATTCTTGACTTCCTAAGAGCTTTGGTGTCTAACTTGAAGTGGAGCTTCAGGCTCCTTTAACCATAAATCCTTATGAAGCCAAAATAGCACTCCTTTCACTGGATTCCTTGCTCTACTCAAACCATACCTGGTGGTCACACTGTTCAAAAGAGATAACTTTTATAACTTTTCTGAAGATGTCTAGTAAGTCAAACCTGTACTTTGAGACTAAGGCCACATTTATTTACATGCTCCAATATTACCACCATCTAGCAAGGACTTAAAACCTTCCATTCATTTTCCCACCAGTTTTGAAATAAAGTGCTTCTTGATAAAACTTTATTTTGAGGGTCTGCATTATTTCAAACCCTGGCATAATGTAAGATTTTGGTAGGTAATACTTTTATATCACATGATTTCCAACTTTCAAAATTTAAAGTCACATGAAATTTGATGGCACGGTGCTGTGTGTGCTATACAGAAGTGGGGGAAATGCCTTTCCTTATTTTGTGTTGTGCACCTCATAAGAGCAAGTTTTTGGATTTTGCTGTAGTCTCTTCTCCATAAGGCTCAGACCCACAATCCATGGGGCTGAGACAGATGTCATGCAGCTCCCCCTGCACCAACCCCAAAACTCTGATTTTACTCCTCTGGATTCCTTTCCCCCATGAAGATCAGAATTTAGTAAAGAAAGACTTCAATAACTTATGTTCTCCCCTCACCACAGACAACTTACTTGTAATACCCACTAAAAGCAAGAATTTTCAAATGTCATTGAACATGAGGCAGAATATCAGGGGGCACACAGGCCTTTCTTATATGCCTAAAATTGACTTCATGATCAACATGTGCATGCTGTATCTATTAACTTATCAAAGCATTTACAGCAATGATCAAATGAGAAAAATGCTTGACTTAGAAAAGTAGAATTCTGAATTCTGGGAAGTTGGTATGTATTTGAACCAAACTTATCTCTACACTCAATAGATAAGACCATGATAGTCCCTTGGACTGCAAAGAGATCAAACTAATCAATCCTAAAGGAAATTAACCCTGAATATTCATTGGAAGGACTCATGCTGAAGCTCCAAAACTTCGGTCACCTGATGCAAAGAGCCGACTCACTGGAAAAGACCCTGATGCTGGGAAAGATTGAAGGCAACAGGAGAAGGGGCCAGCAGAAGATGAGATGGTTAGATAGCATCACTGACTCAGTAGACATGAATCTGAGCAATTCCAGGAGATAGTGAAGGATAGGGAAGCCTGGCATGCTGCAGTCCATGCGGTTGCAAAGAATTGGCCATGACTTAGCGAGTAACTCAACTGAATTCCATCATCTTCACTTGCTTTGTTCGTAGTGATGCTTTCTAAGGCCCCCTTGACTTCACATTCCAGAATATCTAGCTCTAGGTGAGTGATCACACCATCATGATTTTCTGGGCTGTAAAGATCTTTTTTGTACAGTTCTGTATATTCTTGCCACCTCTTCTTAATATCTTCTGCTTCTGTTCGGTCCATACCATTTCTGTCCTTTATCGAACACATCTTTGCATGGAATATTCCCTTGGTATCTCTAATTTTCTTGAAGAGATCTCTAGTCTTTTCCATTCTGTTGTTTTCCTTTATTTCTTGGCATTGATCACTGAGGAAGGCTTTCTTATCTCTCTTTGCTATTCTTTGGAACTCTGCATTCAAATGGGTAGCTTTCTTTTTCTTCTTTGCTTTTGGTGTCTCTTCTTTTCACAGCTATTTGTAAGGCCTCCTCAGACAACCATTTTGTCTTTTTGCATTTGTTTTCCATGGGGATGGTCTTGATCCCTGTCTCCTGTACAATGTCACGAATCTCCGTCCATAGTTCATCAAGCACTCTATCAGATCTAGTCCCTTAAATCTATTTCTCACTTCCACTGTATAGTCATAAGGGATTTGATTTAGGTCATACCTGAATGGTCTAGTGGTTTTCTCTTTCTTTAATTTCAGTCTGAATTTGGCAATAAGGAGTTCACGATCTGAGCCACAGTTAGCTCCTGGTCTTGTTTTGCTGACTGTATAGAGCTTCTCCATTTTTGACTGCAAAGAATATAATCAATCTGATTTCGGTGTTGACCATCTGGTGATGTCCATGTGTAGAGTCTTCTCTTGTGTTGTTGGAAGAAGGTGTTTGCTATGACCAGTGCGTTCTCTTGGCAAAACTCTATTAGCCTTTGCCCTGCTTCACTCCGTACTCCAAGGCCAAATTTGCCTGTTACTCCAGTTGTTTCTTGACTTCCTACTTTTGCATTCCAGTCCCCTGTAATGAAAAGGACATCTTTATTGGGTGTTAGTTCTAAAAGGTCTTGTAGGTCTTCATAGAGCCATTCAACTTGACCTTCTTCAGCATTACTGGTTGGGTTACCAGTGATAGGCTTGGATTACTGTGATACTGAATGGTTTGCCTTGGAAACGAACAGAGATCATTCTATCATTTTTGAGACTGCATCCAAGTACTGCATTTCAGACTCTTTTGTTGACCATGATGCCTACTCCATTTCTTCTAAGGGATTCCTGCCCACAGTAGTGGATATAATGGTCATCTGAGTTAAATTCACCCTTTCCTGTCCATTTTAGTTTGCTGATTCCTAGAATGTCAACATTCACTTTTGCCATCTCCTGTTTGACCACTTCCAATTTGCCTTGATTCATGGACCTAACATTCCAGGTTCCTATGCAATATTGCTCTTTATAGCATCAGACCTTGCTTCTATCACTGGTCCTACCCACAACTGGGTATTGTTTTTGCTTTGGCTCCATCCCTTCATTCTTTCTGGAGTTATTTCTCCATTGATCTCCAGTAGCATATTGGGCACCTACCAACCTGGGGGGTTCCTCTTTCAGTATCCTATCATTTAGTCTTTTCATACGGTTCATGGGGTTCTCAAGGCAAGAATACTGAAGTGGTTTGCCATTCCCTTCTCCAGTGGACCACATTCTGTCAGACCACTCCACCAGGACCCGTCCGTCTTGGGTGGCCCCACGTGGCACGGCTTGATTTCACTGAGTTAGACAAGGTTGTGGTCCATGTGATCAGATTGGCTAGTTTTCTGTGATTATGGTTTCAGTGTATCTACCCTCTGATGTCCTCTTGCAACACCTACTGTCTTACTTGGGTTTCTCTTACCTTGGACGTGGGGTATCTCTTTACGGCTCCTCCTTACCTTGGACTGGGGGGTATCTCCTCATGGCTGCCTCTCCTGACCTTGAATGGTGGAGTAGCTCCTCTTGGTCCTCTTGCACCCACGCAGCCACCGCTCCTCAGACGTGGGGTAACTCCTCTCGGCCGCCACCCCTGACAGCTCCTCTTGACCGCCCCCCCTGGCCTTGGGCAAGGGGTAGTTCCTCACAGCCACGCTTCTGTGCGGTCTGTCGCAGTGATGGTGCGATCACTCACCTAGATCCATACATCCTGGAATGTGAAGTCAAGTGGGTCTTAGAAAGCATCACTATGAACAAAGCTAGTGAAGGTGATGGAATTCCAGTTGAGCTACTTCAAATCCTGAAAGATGATGCTGTGAAGGTGCTGCACTCAATATGCCAGCAAATTTGGGAGACTCAGCAGTGGCCACAGGACTGGAAAAGGTCAGTTTTCAGTACAATACCAAAGAAAGGAAATGTCAAAGAATGCTCAAACACCGGCACAATTGCACTCATCTCACATGTTAGTAAAGTAATGCTCAAAATTCTCCAAGCCAGGCTTCAGCAATATGTGAACGGTGAATTTCCAGATGTTCAAGCTGGTTTTATAAAAGGCAGAGGAACCAGATATCAAATTGCCAACATCTGCTGGATCATTGAAAAAGCAAAAGAGTTTCAGAAAAACATCTATTTCTGCTTTATTGACTATGCCAAAGCCTTTGACTATGTGGATCACAATAAACTGTGGAAAATTCTGAAAGAGATGGGAATACCAGACCACCTGACCTGCCTCTTGAGAAACCTATATGCAGGTCAGGAAGCAACAGTTAGAACTGGACATGGAACAACAGACTGGTTCCAAATAGGAAAAGGAGTACGTCAAGGCTGTATATTGTCACCCTGCTTATTTAACTTATATGCAGAGTACAT